AGATTTTTGTTGTTGTTGAAGCTGGACACAGTAGCTCGTGCTTGTAGTTTTGGCTAATCTGGAGGTTATGGCAAGATCTCTTGAGCTGAGTTTGGGGCTTATGCCCTTAATCCCAGCACTTGGAAAATGTGAAAAGGCAGGTGGAACTATGTGAGTTCAAAGCCAGCCTGGTCTACATATCAAGTTCCAGACCCACCAGGGCTGCATAGTGAGACCCTGTCTCAAAAAGGGAAGGAAAAGCAGGCAGACAGACACACAGAGGGAGAGAGCGAAAGCACACACAAGTGCCTGACTGACTGATCAGTTCATTGATTTTCAAGTCTGCTTTATAGTTCAATACAGGGAAGGGACTTGAACGCTCATTTCTTGAGAGATGAGACCCAGATGGCCAACAAGCACATGTTTAATAACAGTGGTCATCAGAGAAACGAATGTCAGCCCGCATGAATAGCATTTCATGCCCTATAGAAGAGGAGGGTTAAGGATGTGCAGAAATCAGCCCAGGTTCTGGCTTCTAGGAATATAGATAGTACAGCCACTGTATAGTTAAATTGTAATATCAACTGGCCATAATACATGAATCCAGTTGGTAGAAGAGGCAGAAGCTACTGGGGTGGGAGGAGGAAGAAAAGGGAATGAGGTGTTCTTGAGGGAGTGGTGCTGGACATTGAGCCTATGGCCTCAAGATGTTAGGCAAGCAGTCTGCCATTGAGCTACATCTCCAGCCCCAATGCTGGGTTTTGTTTTCGATACAGCATTTTTCTGTGTAGCCCCGGATATCCTGGAACTCACTCTGTAGACCAGGTTGGCCTTGAACTCAAGAGATCCACCTGCCTCTGCCTACCAAGTGCTGGGATTAAAGGCGTGTGCCACACCACCACCTGGCTTCCCAATGCTGTTTTAAAAACATATTAGTATTATGAAAGGGATAGGGATGTTTCCAGGTCCCACTGAAAGTACCAGTTTTGTAGTCTGTGTGCAGTTTACAGAATGACAGCACGTTCATAGGTGAATACTAAATGTCTTTGTGTGGCATCTGCCATAGTTACTACTTTACTACACACATGGGAGAGAGGTGTTCACACTTGCCCTCACCTTGCTTTGTCTTTTCTCCTGCTTCTCATCAGCAGTTCTTTCTATATGTGTGTGCCCCACAGTTTACCCAGGGCCATGGAGCTGTAAATCTCACACAAATATACCCATTCCTGAGTGAGTGGTATGCATAGAGAAGGTTGTGAGATTGGCCCTGTGAGTCAAGCCCTGGGCAGTTCCCGTGTCTCTCCTCATTCTGTTCAGCCTAAGGAACAGACATCAGGAGTGGACAGGGGTGTTGTCAATGGCCCTTCCTCTCCGTCTCAGTCTTAGAGCAGCCTGCCTGGGTGCAGCCCTGTCATCACTTTCCCGAGCCCATTTCTGCTCTCCTGCCTTGGCAGTGTTGGGTTCTTGGGCTCTGCATGGATTATTCATGCCTGGTTTATGACAGTCATGTTTCATGAAGTTCATATGCTTTTTGTAGTTTTATGACTGCCTGTGTGTCTGGTGGTCTTGGTTGCTGTTCCTTTTCAGTTTTTCTTAAATAACAGCTTTCATGTTCTATAACAGCCCAGACAAAGTGGATGTTATTGTCCTGGTTTGCTAGCGGGAAGTTGAACCTGAAGGTGTGGCTTGCCTGACACTGAGTGGTTCCAAGTCTGTTCTTGTCCCCTTCCCTGGACTCCAAAGCAGGCACACTGATGTTTGATACCAGGAGATTTTAGGGGCTTTCTTGAGAATTGTAGTGCACTCCTTATAGAAAGACCGCTGGTCTGCCCATCACTGTCAGTAGAATCACTCACAGCTGTGACAATCAAAGAGTCTCCTATCCTTCTTAGGTTATAGATACTTCTATTTTTATGTGTACGTGCTTGCATGAGTTTGTGTGCACCATGTGTATGCAGTACCCAGGGCACTGAGTTATCTGCAACTGGAGTTGCAGGCCGTTGTAGGATGCCGATGTGGGTGACAGGAATGGAACCCTAGCCCTCTGCAGAAGCAGAAGCACTCTTTACTGCTGAGCCATTTTCCAGCCCTAGTTATTTGTGTTACTGTAGTGGACGTGCTGCTTTTCACTTGTTTCCTCCCCACCCTGTGGTTGTATGCACATGTGTGTGCAGGTATGCAGACCTATGTGCACGTACTAACAGGATAGAGATGGACAATGTGTTTCTTACCACTCATTCCTCTGAGTCAGGGTTTCTCCCTGAACCCAGAGCTCAGCTGGTGGTCTCTGCCTCTGTCTGACCCTCCCACTTTGCTGGGCTATAGGCTTACATAGCCGTACTTGACTTCATGTAGATGCGAGGGATTTGAACTCAGGTTACTCTATTCAGTAAGTGCTCTTCTATACTGGATGTGACCCCTCAGCACAGCAGATAAAGATGATTAGAACTGTGGCCCTGGGACTGGCGGTCAGCACCACTGTTACTATTTCCCTTGATGATGACTCACCCTCCATTTCACAGTTAGACTTCCAAACACACTTCTATCTGGATAGGTCTGTATGCAGTGAAGGTCCGAGCCGAAGCTATGCAAGAAGCATCTGAAGCTGTCCCCAGTGGGATGCTGTCTGTCCTCGGCCAACGTCAGTCCAACTTCTCCCTTGCCTGCATGGAAGCCCAGGAGCACTGCAGATCCTTAGGCATAGAGAACCCGGTGTGCCAGGTGTCCAACTACCTCTTTCCTGACTGCAGGGTCATCTCAGGACACCTTGAGGTTAGTGTTGGTGGGAGCCACCCTCACAGACTCTAGTCGGCTATGGAGCTGGGAGTCTGCATACCTCTGAGGTTCCAGTGGAAGAGCATGGCCTGGAAAAAATGGCCAAGGGCCTAGGCCATATGTAGCAGAGTGAGTGCTGCAGAGGGGAGCAGAAGCCAGGCTATCACCTACTGGTTTCTGACCCAGTCATCTGGCTCATGGGTCAGGTCAAAGGGCCAGACCACACCATGTCCAGGCCTTTCCATGCTGCTATGCCTGTAATCTGGCTGCTTGCTTTGAGAAAGGAGCAGTTTTCTGTGGCTTTGTCTAGCATTTTTACCTGGCCTTTTTATTTATTTGTTTACCTATTTATTTATTGTTTTTTTGAGACAGGGTTTCTCTGTGTAGTCCTGGCTATCCTGTAACTCACACTGGAGACCAGGCTGGCTTCAAACTCACAGAGGTCTGCCTGCCTCTGCCACCCGAGTGCTAGAGTTAAAGGCGTGCGCCACCACTACTAGGTACCTGGCTTTTTCTTGAGTGTCTGATAATTTGCATTCAAGTGCTCGGTTTTCTGCTGTCTGCTGCTTCCCCAAGTATCACTTACCAAGATATTCTGTGTATTAGCACTAGGGACACAAGACCCATTAGAGTTCCTATTGTCAAAGGAGGAGCAGTATAACAAGGTGACACCAGTCCAGGGACACAGTAAAGGGCAGGTCAAGCACTAAGTGGAGGGGCAGGAGCCCTGTGGAAGTGGCAGCTGGAACCAGTGCTACCTTGAGATGCCAAGAAAGTACAGCTAGCCTCCAAAGCCAGAGAAACCCTGTCTCAAAAAAACAAAAACAAAAAAAGAAAAGAAAAGAAAAAAAGAAAGTACAGCTAGAAGCTATGTCTAACTCCCTCACTGCCAGTCCACCATCTAGAAGGCATCTTTATCCCATTTCACAGAAAAGGAAGCTGAGATGGAGAAACAAGAGCCAGAAGTTTGAGTCTTTCTTTATAGCCTATGCTGGTCTTGAACTCACAATCTACACTGCCTCAAGCATGTGCCACTGAAGGCCAAATTTGAGTCCCAGTATCTGGGCTGAAGGCACATACTTATAAACCCAGTCCTTGGGAGGTGAAGGCAAAAGGATTTGGCCACAGAATGAGTTCAAGACCAGCCTGGACTACCTACAACCCTGCCTCAAAAATAACAACATATAACCAAGTGCGATGGTCCGCATCTTTAATCCCAACACTTGGGAAGCAGAGGCAGGAGGATCTCTGAGTTCAAGGCCAGTCTGGTTTACAGAGTGAGTTCCAGGACAGCCAGGACTACCTGGTGAGACCCTGACTCAAAAAATGAACAAAACTGCACACACACAGTTCTCACTCTGGTGATTTCCTTCCACTATCTGGGTTACCTTTGCTAGGTGTCTTCAAATACTACCTCTGAACCTGTGAGCACTACAGCCCCTTGGTGACTAATCTGACGTGGTAGAACATCACACTGGTCAGTTCTAAGCCAAGATAGACTTCGTTTCTACTTACCAGGCATGGTCACTTTTTTTTGGGGGGGGGCAGGTGACCATCAACTCCCTACAAAAAGACCATCAGGACTGGAGGGATTATGGTGCAGAGGTTAGGAGCACTTGTTCTTGCAGAGGATCCACATTTGGTTTTCAGAACCCATATGATAGTTTCGACCATCCATAACTCCGGTTCCAGGGGATCAGGTATCCTCTTCTGTTGTCCTTAGGCACCAGGCATATGTGCGATATACATGCAGGCAAAACACTGGTGCACACAAAAATTAGTAAGTCAAAAAAAAAAACTGAAAAAGTGGACTAAGGTTAGAGCTGAAGGGTTTGTGGGCCACATGTGATAAGGCACACTTGTAATCTTAGCACTCAGGAAGCTTAGGAGGATTGTGAGTACAAAGCTAGCCTGACCTCTGTATGATGGCCTCGTCTCAAAAGCCAAGCAAGAGCTGAGGGTGAAACTCAATGGCAGAAGTCTTGCTTGGCACACAGAGACCCTTGCACACACACACACACACACACCACACACACACACACACACACACACAATGCCAGCAACAGCTGGAACCTTTGCTTCTATAAGATTCCTCTTGTTTTTCCCATTAGGCCCTGCAGTTTCTCCGGAAGAATTCTGCTAAGTATCACTTCAGGCGCACCAAGATGTTGCCAGTAAGTGGTGGCTTCCATACTTGCCTCATGGAGCCAGCTGTGGAGCCCCTGGTGAAAATTCTAGGCACAATTAACATCAAGAAGCCACTGGTTGCTGTCCACTCCAACGTCAGTGGGCATAAATACATGGATCCCCAGCACATCCGGAAGCTGCTGGGGCAGCAGGTGGTGTCTCCAGTGAAGTGGGAGCAGACGATGCACTCCATCTACAAGCGGAAGAAGGGCACTGATTTCCCCAGCACCTTTGAGGTGGGTCCCGGGCGGCAACTGGGGAGCATCCTGAAGAGCTGCAATGGGCAGGCGTGGAAGTCCTACAACCACGTGGATGTGATGCAGACCAGCACGGATCCTGACCACTGAGGGCCTTGAATGGAATGGCCCCAGGGTGAGCCCCATTTCCTCAGACTGGAGGACATTGGTCACTGCAGTCTCAGTTGTGGCTAAGGCTTCCCTCAGAGGATCGTCCTTGAGTGCCCCATCACATGACTCAACCCGTCCCTACACTTGATGCTGTCCGGCTGCTGGGGGAAAGAATTCCTATGCAGACGGCCTGTGCAGCCGGCATGCTACTCTGCCTTTGCACACAACCATGCCCCTCAGTGAATCCAGGAAGGGCTAGCCTGGGGCAGCCTTAGACTTACCCTGTTGGTGCTGTAGGCACACTGCTTGGCTTCAAACCAGGCCTGGTGCCAGAGGGGCTTATTGTCCCTGTGTCATGCTGTTCACCCAGGGCCGAGGTCATAGCTTGTTTGGCCTTCAATCTGTCCAATGGCCTTGGCAGCCACTTGGTCCTCTCCTCTCTAGACAGCTGGGAGATTGAGTGCCGTATACTGTAGATATCTAAGAAGCACATGTTAAGTTCACAGGAGAAACCTGGAACATAAGGTATGGAATGTATTTGGGCAAGAAGGATGGCCCGGGACCCTGACTGCACTAGTCCAGCCCCAGTTCATTCATGACGAGACCCCCACCACCACCAAGTCATCCATGGGACAGTGGCCACTGCTTCCCTCACAACACAGCTGCTCTGCAGCAGGAGTAAAAGAAGTCTGTGAGAGGACACATAATAAATGTGAGCGAGCCTTTCTAAGCTGCCTGGCTGGCTTTCTCATTCATTGATGCTGGGGAATCTTGGGAATGGAGCTCATGAACTTGTTTTGTTGTTGGGAAGGCCTACACCTAATCTGGGTAGCCTTCTCAGCAGGGCTCTGTCTGCCTCTGGACAGGACCTGTCCTATTGCCCAACTGTGCCATTCTTGTGCAACTGTCCTTGGTACTTGCAGGCCTTGTGATCTCTAGATGGCCTGTGGATTTCAACATGAGTGCAAATGTAGTTTGCACCATCCTGAGTGAGTACATCTATCTTAGCTGAGGCAGGAGAATGGCTTTAGCTCCTCAGTTTGACATCAACCAGGCAGAACAGCCTGTCTGTAAATGAGTAAGATTCTGGAAAGCTGTCAGCATTTGCTTGCAGGGGGTTGGCTCCTGTGGTTGCCTCTTTGGGCCCCAGGTCTGGAGCACTGTGGCTTGGCTGTCTGCAGGGCAAATGTCACCTCGGAAGCTTGGACTCACCTCACCTCTCCCAAGCCTAACATGAGGTCAACCTGAACCAGGGCATCCCATATGGGATGTGGTCAGTCCCATCCTGTGTGGTCACATCACAGGCCCCAGATGCTCCCACAGCCTTGTCACCTGAGGGAAGTTGCCCCACTGTCCCAGAACCCTCCATCCCTCCTTGGGCCTGCTGCAGGGGAGTGGTGTGTTAAGAGTCTCAGACCAAAGCTGCTGTGGCAAATGTGACAAGTGTCCATCCCCACTCTTGAGCACTGGGGGCAATCCTAGTTCTGCTGTTAACTAGGACTGATCTCACTGAAGGCTGAATCTGGCAATAAAGCTTGGGGTTAGGCTCTGGTGTCTAGTTTTATGTCTTGAAAGAGGAGTACCCAAAGCAGGTGGCCTTTGCTCTTCCGAGCATCATTTGTAGGCCCGTGACAATGTGACAGGATGGGAGGTGATACCTACTGGGGACACAAGACTGCAAAGGGACTCAACAAGCATCCCACCCAGACCTGGGAAATTTGGGACAGCTCAAGGACACATAATGAGGGCATTTGGGAGGAGACCAAAGAAAGTGGCCCCTGAAGTCACAGCCACTGGTAGCTACATGGGGAGGGGTATTGCTTGGTGTCTGATGGGAACATGCAAAGTTCCAGGTGGAGGCCTTGGTTGATCTAGAAAGAGAATGGGACAGGCAGGCCTGGGGGAGGTACTGAGCCCATGGTGGGAGTCTGGCCCTCCTCCCTCGGTGTTTCTTGTGCAGCACACCCCAACACCATAGCTTTTTGTGAGACCTGCACCCCTACCCCCACATACACACAGGAGGTGGGCAGACTTCCCCATTAGGATTACAGGCAGAAGGAGACAAGATGGTGCTGTGGAGCTGGGCCTGGTGGCACAGAGGCAGGCAGAGCTCTGAGTTAGGCCAGCCTGGTCTACATAGTGAGTTCCAGGACAGCCAGACATATTCAGAGAAACCATATTTGGGGGAAGAGGAATGCTTATAGTCCTTGGGTGCAGGCAGAATGCACAGGACTGGGGCAGAGGCCACCCCTCCTCCTCCACCATCTACATCCAGTGTTATGACAGCCCCCAGAGGACCTAGGGGGAGGCTGGCTGCAAACAGCACTTTATTGAACACTTCTGGAAACAACACTTGATTCACTTTATTGAACTCTCCACCCCAAGGAATCTAGTCCAGTAGATTCTGTGCCTCAAGGCTTCACAAGCCAGGGGTGTGGCCAGCACTCCCCCCCACTGGTGGCCACAGGACCAGCCTGCAGAGAAAAGGCAGGCAGGGGTCAAGAGAGGGGCCAGCCAGGCCTCAGGGGCATTTAGCCAGTAATGCCCCTGAGCTATAGTGAATTCATTTGCCTTACAAAAACCCAGAAAATGTGTATGAAATCTCAGCACTATCCTGAGTTAAATATAAAAAAAAGGGACAGTTAGAAAACACCACAGTTAGGGTGCCGGCACCTCTAGGGGGTGGTTGAGGAGCAGGGGCCAGCCCTGCCCCTGCTGGGCTTCACTGAAGCTGCAAATGCAAGGCCTCCCCCAGCAGCAAGAGGACCAACAGCACCATGGGAAACAGCTGTCCTCGGGCCTGGTCAGGTGACACCTATAAGACCAAAAGGGAAGGGAGAGTGAGGCCCAGGGACCACCTGGGGTGAGGAGACAGCTCTTGGGGACTGGGAACAAACATCTATGCACAAGTGGGGGATCTGGGACAGTGTGAATATGGTATTCAGCCAGTGGGGGTGAGCTGGGAGGTGGCCCTGAGACCATAGCTGAGAGAGGGTCCTGTCTGCCAGAGGAAGGGTCTCTGCAGCGGAGACCAGAGGCACTGTTAAGTGTGTACTTGAATCTCGTTGAGTTCAGAGGCCAGCCAAACGGTTGTTGCACTCACTAAGGCTTCTGGAATGGGGCAGAAGTGGAAAGAGGTGGGGAAGACGTAGAGAGGGATGGAGATTGTGGCAAACCAAACAGCACGGCTAAGGAGCTGCTGGCTGCCCTGTGGGCAGGGTAATGTAGACTACAGGCATCAAGGGTCTTACCCAGGTACCAGGAGTCAGGACTCTCCAGGACCAGATTTTTTCCCTGAGGTTGGTGAGGCCTCGAATCAGGCTTCTGAAAATCCCCCTGGCACCCGTCTGGCTGTAGTTGACAGCGAGTCTGTAAGACATGGGATGGGCAAGGTGATTACTGTAGCAGTAGACACTGGACACCTACATGTGTGACTCATTACAGCACGGCGCACAGAGCCTCTGTGCCCCTCGGACATCCTACTCTCTCCACTACGAAAGTCATCTCTTCCCAGACTGCCTTCTGGGTCTCTGCCCGGAGCTGACCACAAGGAACATCCACCCTGAAGGACCCTGAGTAGTCTGTCTTCCTGGGAGACCAACTGAGGGGCTGCCTCTGGGGCCAAGCCCACACTGCCCTGGCAGTTGGGACCTCTCAGGACTGCTGTCCAACTTGACAAAGGGTGATGCTTGATCTACTGTTGAAGCCAGAGGGAAGGCTTGGGGACCCAGGTGGGGGCTGGGAAGTGAAGGATTTCAAGCTTGTCCGGGGACTCCTATACTTCTTTAAGGTTTGCAGGATGCCCTTAGAGTCCAGCCCTGTGCTGGTTCTGGCTCTGCATGTCCACCTGGGCAGCTGGTTACCTGTGCATGGCAATCCCAGGCAGCTGGGCCAGACGGGCCCCCCGAAGACACAGGTCCATCTCATCACCAATGTAGGCCAGCCTCAGGGCCACTTGGTTTCTGCAGGAAGACACAGAGAAGTTTGGTGGGGTTGTGCTGAGGGGCCATACCACCCACCCACCCAGCCCAAATCCTGTGGGACTCAAGGCCCAGAGAGAGGAGGCAGTGGAATACTGGGGGCCAGTAGCAAACCTTGGTGTCCCTCTCATCCATGAAGTACCCTTTGAAGTAAAGGGTTCCCCTACAGGACAGACCACAGACTACTGAGACATCAGGTGGAGGGGCCAACAGGGGACTCCCTCTTGTGGAAATCAGACACGCATTAATGCTAGGAGTGTCTCATGAACCTGCCTGGAAGCCAGGGATAACTTAGCCCAGAAAGACTATCACCTGACCTCCCCTGTAGAGGACCTGGCAGGGGAGGTGCATGGTGGTAACAGTGGATGGTAGGGAAGAGCACTGGGGGTGCTCTGAGCCCCCTCCAGATGGCTTCCTATAGGGTCTCAGTTTATCTTCCCGTTCCAAGACCTGCCCCTGGTTCCTAGTCCTGAAACACTTGTATCTGCACCCTCTCCAGATGTGGCTCTTGTCTAGCCACACTTGATAAACCAAATTCCCAAGTGAGCCAGGCATGGTGGTGCACACCTTCAATTTATAGAAAATCTCAGGAACTAGAGATAGCTCAGCAGTTAATAAACAGCACTTGTTACTCTTGCAGAAGACTCAGGTTCAACTCCCAACACCCGTGTGGTTATTTACAACCATCTGTAACTCCAGTTCAGGGGATACAACACCTGAGTTCTTCAGACACCAGGTATGTATATAGTGCACAGACATACCTGCAGGCAAGCACTCAGGCACATAAAGTAAATCTTTAAAAACGTAAAAGATCTCCAATGGAATGAAAGACACACACTTATGTGGTGAACGCATGTACACTGGACTGGCTGATTTTATGTGTCAACTTGACACAAGCTAGAGTCATCACGGAGGAAGAAGCCTCTGTTGAGGAAATGCATCAGTGAGATCCAGGTGTAGGGCATTTTCTCAATTAGTGACCAATGGTAGAGGACCCAGCCCATGGTGGGTGGTGCCATCCCTGGGCTGCTGGTCCTGGGTTCTATGAGAAGGCAGGCTGAGCAAGCCAGGGGAAACAAGCCAGTGAGCAGCTCCCCTTCCATGGCCTCTGTATCAGCTCCTGCTTCCAGTTATCCTACCCTGTTTGAGTTCCTTCCCTAACTTCCTTCAGTAATAAACAGCAATATGGAAGTGTAAGCCTAATAAACCCTTTCCTCCCTAACTTGCTCTTTGGTCATGGTGTTTTGTCGTATCAATAGAAACCCTAACTAAGACATACACACACTGAAACCAGCCTGATTAAGCCCTTTCTGGGGTTGGCCTGAACATTCCACACCAGTGACTCAATAGCTCACTGGAAAGTCCCTACAGAGGGGATCTCAGGGGCTGTCTGTCCTGCCCAGCTCAGCCCTGGCCACCTGCACCACTGATCCAGTGTCCCAGGTCTACTCCTGATTCTAACAGTGGTGACAACAGTGCCAGGAGCCCGGAAGGTCATCTGGCTTGGGTTGGGAAGTTTTGGTCCTACCTGGGAGACCCCAGGAAAATACTGCCCCAGGCTTCACCTCACTCAGGAATGGACCAGGAAGGGAGGAAACAGGCATCCAAACAGCCCCATCTTACCTCCACAATCAGAGTAACAGAGAACCCTGAAGCTGAGAGTACACATGGAGAGACTGTGTTGACCTGCCTGTGTGCAGGACTCACCATGACCGGTGTAGCTACTCTTTTTCTGCTGGAAGTGAGCAGTGGGTCTCATGGCCTTAGAAGGAAGGGACCTTGCCTTCTCTATCTGGACATAGTGGCAACAACAAACATGCCTCTTGCTAGTGAAGTTAGATGGTCCAGATTGCAGTGTGATGGTCCTGAGACCCCAGAATCACTGTCAGGAACCCTGTGGGGTGTGGAGCCTCCTCAACCCCCACCCCACTCTAGCTCTATACAGAAGGTGTTTCAAGCCATGTCCAGAGGAGGGCACTGGTCAGTGGGTCCTACCTGTTCTCCAGGCACTCCACGAGGTCCAAGTCTCTCATAGAACTGTTTTCTTCCTCCACAGGCTCCTTCATGCTGGGAGCCCCAGGAGCCACTGGAGGTCGGGGCACCTGGTCATGCAGGACAGTCTTGATGATGAGGTCTCTGGCCATGAGTCTTGCCTCTGACATGTCCTCTGTGGGATAAAATAGGCTCAGTATGACTAAATTGCTCAGAACTATGCAATGGGAGCTACTAGGGCTTAGAACACCAGACCAAAATAGGCACTTGGCATGCAGGGTACAATGGAGCTCATGGGGACTGTGAGGTCTTGGAATTTCAATGTTCCTGACCCTCCTCTGCCCCCAACAGGTATCACTGATCCTTGCTCTGCATCTCAAATTGTCTTGTGATTACTTCTGAATACACAATTTGCAGCAACTTTTGCTGCCCAACTAAAATGAACAAGTTATTAACTTAAAAGTAGTTAATACCATCTTGCAATAAAGTTACAATTCAAATAGAAGAAAAAAGGGAACAGTCAAGGACAGGGCAGCTCCCCTTCTGACTGTCATGAATGTAGGGGTGAGGGCCCAAACTGCAGCAGCCAGTCAGAGACAGTAGACAGAGCAGTAGAGAAAGCCTGGCCCAAGCAACTGCAGGACTGGGAGCCATGCCCTGCCTAGGGTTCAAATTCCCAGTTTCCAATTCCTGTGGACAGAGACTTCTGGAACCCCCCACAGTGGTGACTCACATTTCAGTAATGGTTCCATCTCCACTGAGGCAGGCTGGGTGGGACTCTGTGACTGACTCACCATAGTGAAACCCACATGGAACCAGGTGACCTTAGGTCCATGACATCAAGGCAATGATAGTATGGATCTGGATTAATAGCCCTACTCAAATGCTGGTGCACAAGCAGGAATTCAAGGGGACACAGAAAGTTCCAATGCAGCCAAACCTTAGTGTGACACAAGAGACCTTGGTTTTTTGTTTTTGTTTTTAAATTCGAGTTGGTGGTAGCACACACCTTTAATTCCAGCGCTCGGGAGGCAGAGGCAGGAGGATATCTGTGAGTTTGGGGCCAGCCTGATCTACAGAGTGAGTTCCAGGACAGTGAGGGCTACACAGAGAAACCCTGTCTTGAAAATCCACAAAAAAGTGGGTGGCATTGAGCAGCTCTACATAAGAATCCAAAATTCAAAACTTTGGGCCCCAACATCACACATGTGTGATGGTTCAGAGTATAGGAACTCTGTCCCATGTACAGAATCACTTAATGTTCCACATAAATTACCTTCACTTCATATGTGAAAGTGTATAGGAGAGGTACCTGAATTTCACGGGGAGAGTCTGACCTCAACTCCAAGACAGCTCGTGTGTGTGTGTGTGTGTGTGTGTGTGTGTGTGTGTGTGTGTGTGTGTACAAGTGTGCATGAAAAGGACAGAGGTTAATGTTGGTGACTTCCTTGATTGTCCTCCACCTTGTGTTTTGAAACAGGGTCCTTCACTTAGACCTGGAGTCATTTCTGCTAGCCTGATTGACAGTAAGCCCCAGAGATTCTCCTGTCTCGGCTGCCCCTGAACTATGATTGCAGGTAAGCACAGCCAGGGTTGGCTTTCTGTGTCTGTGTTGAGGATACCAACAGCCATCGTCTGCACTCCAGCCCTCAATATATTTCATTATATATAAGCAGATGATATCTCAAATCCAAAACTCTCTGGCACCCATCCCGAGACTACACAGGCCATGCTGGCTTGAGCCTGCTTCCCTACCTTGCACTAGGCTGTGTTCAGAGTGTGTGTGGATGCCTTTATTTCACCTCCCAACAACCAGGTTATGGGCAGAGCACTTGTCTGGCATGCTCACGACCTTGGTTTCATCCCTAGCAACACAAACTGACACACAAGAATCAACCTAGACATGATTTTCTGTTCAAAAAGAACACCAGGTCTTGGAAAAGTTCATGCCTGAGCTAAGATGGACAGTGACCCAAGTCTTCCCATCCCTAGGCCAAGACAGACCAGTGACCATTTGTAAAATGGACTGACTGCAGGCACATTGCACAAAGCCATCCTCCTGAGGACACCCAAGGCTAAACACTGAAGTGTCCCACTGATCATTCCCTGTGTTAAAGAAAGAGATGGCTGGAAGCCTAGGCTCTCAGGGAGTTAGAACATAAGCTGGGACCCTCCAGGTGTCTCAGGGCTGACCTTAGGCAGATGACTGTCAGCAATGCACCCCAAATGGTTGTGATCAAGGAGCCAAGTGCACACGAGGTGACATCATCAGCTACCACAGCAGGTATGGGGGTGTGGTGAGTGCCAGGTTTTGAGAAGCCATATAAGGACAGCATTGTTCTTCCTTCTAGAAGTGGAAAAAGAATACCCGTCCAGAGTTTCTGTCTCAACAAAGAGGTGGCTGTCTCCCCTCCTAAGAGGAAGGCACAGGGGAGGTTGACATCTGTTCCCAACAAAGACAGCTCAAGTCTCACAGGAGCCGGGCTGCAAGGATGAGAAGCATAAACACAGCCACAGCAGCCGCACCTGCCAGGCAACACCTTTGCCTGGAGGTAGAAGATGAGGGCTGCAGCGGGAGGGAAGTGGGTTCCACCTGCTCAGTGCACCTGCAGGCAGAGCTGCAAAGCTATCAGGTGGGAGCAAGCGCCCCCCACCCCCTCAGGCCATTAATCTAGTGAAGAAGCCACACAAAATTACCCAGCATCACCCATGTGCTCACACAGGTTCCTCAAAACTCTTGACATATTTGTCCCAAGGAGTGCTTGGCAGCAGTTAGAAAACAAAAAGGGAGATCAAGGATTTACAATATAGAGATACCAACAGGTCTTTAGTCAGCTTGCCTGGAAGCCACTCAGAGCCGGGATGGGCCACAATAGGCCCTTTCCCAGCCTGGACTTGCATTTCATATGAGCCATTCCCAACACTGGCTAGCCGCCAGCAATGTCATCATCTCCTAGGGACAGTCTGACCTCACTGACCATGCCACTGTACTGCCAGTTTACTGAAGAGCAGAGAGGAGAATCCACAGGAGGATGCAGAAGCCACAGATGTCCTACACTGGGGTCTCTGAGGCAAGGGCAATGTTCATCATGAACACCCAGGGGTACCTTCCTTCCCCCTAAGCCTCCTTCAAAAGGTATATAGAGATACCAACAGGTCTTTAGTCAGCTTGCCTGGAAGCCACTCAGAGCCGGGATGGGCCACAATAGGCCCTTTCCCAGCCTGGACTTGCATTTCATATGAGCCATTCCCAACACTGGCTAGCCGCCAGCAATGTCATCATCTCCTAGGGACAGTCTGACCTCACTGACCATGCCACTGTACTGCCAGTTTACTGAAGAGCAGAGAGGAGAATCCACAGGAGGATGCAGAAGCCACAGATGTCCTACACTGGGGTCTCTGAGGCAAGGGCAATGTTCAGCATGAACATCCAGGGGTACCTTCCTTCCCCCTAAGCCTCCTTCAAAAGGTCAGAACATTTTTATAGTAACAACAACCAAAGTAAATAAATAAATAAATAAATACATTTTTTTAAAAAGAAGGTTTCAGGTCAAGTTATCCTTGTAAAAACTTCAAAGAGAAACTCTAAAACTCCTACCTAAAGAATGTAAAAGAAGAAGTAGGGTGATGGCACAAGCTGTAACCCCCCACTCAGGAGATAGAGACA